CACCTTTCATTTCACTATCTGTACCAACTACAGTAAAAATCCATTAACCATCAGCTAACAAGTCATCTTACAAAAAATCTGATAATTCTATGGTGTAAGTTCTCATGTATACACCTGGAGACATGCTCAATGGCATCCTGGAAGAAAATCAGCTTGGTCTCCTTGAAATAGGTCATGTTGTAATCATCAAGGTAGTCCTGGAGGACTGTCTGAATCTTATTCATGTCTGTCAGATCCTCATACAGTCGGTCTACTTTCTCTGCACCAACCTACAGGGATAATGAGATGAAGGGTAATATAAAAACTGAGAAATAAAACGTTTTCTGAACTACTCAAGCATTTTATATAAAAAGGTCAAATCTGACCTTGATGAAATCCCCAAATATGATAGGCTGAGCCACAAAGTATGAGGGTTCCAATTTAATGCTAAAATATTTGCCTGGCAGAAAGACAGACAAAGGCAAAAAGAGAGTTATTCTTCCAAGTGGAAAGTGGGTAGAACAACATTTAGTGGTCCAACATGTGCGTTTCAAACACTTTGAGTATTTAGCAAAATAAACCATGAGGGCAGTCTTACTGGCCATTTCACAGACAATGGTGTTGAAATAGGTCTTATCTTGATGGTTAATGAGTCGGTCGTGGAACACCCGCTGACACTCATGGCAGAAGAGACGGAAGATTTGGTTCTTGCCTATCACTTGACTTGGCTCACACTGCAATATACCTGAACATTAAGAGAGAGAAGCAAGTATAAAAAAGAGAATTGCTGAATTTTTCACCTTGAATATGATGAGAACAAAAAGGTAGGAACAAAAGATTAAAAATTCTCATGTAAAATAGTTCAAAGAAAAAAAAATACTCCAAAAGCACAGCAACAAGCTAAGGCAAGGAAAGAAATATGATGTAGACTAGATTAAATGATAAAACTTAAGATCTGTGAGTCTTTGTGTCTATGTGGGTCTGTTTCAGTGTGTGGAACAAGAGTGTCGATAGAGAATATAGACAATATTTCCATATCTGTTAAACAACAGGTTTTTGCTGCTTACCATACAAAATTCATGGTTATGAATACATATGAATTTATATAGTACAGAAGATAAAGTTG